AACAGACGCATCCTCTCTTGCGTTTTTCAAACGACGATGAACATTGATGCCGTTTTGTCGATTGGGTGACCAAACCGGTCACGGAAGCATCCGCAAAACTGCCGATATAGTAAGAGTTGTTCAGCCATGGCCAGAAGAGGCAATTGGAACCCATGAAAAAAAAAAATGCAAATCGCAAATGTGCGCTGTCGGGTGATCTCGTTCTTCTGCTGAGACCGAAGACGCTCGCTCTCAGCATCGTCACGCTCAAAAGAGGGCGGGGCTCTTCTTTTTCCCAACCTCAAACCAAGCGTTCCTCGGGCGGTCTGCCGACTTTGCGTGAAGTCGGCCCGGATGGCGTTCCGCGCTTGAACGGCATGCCCGCTCTCCGCAGCACACGCTGACCGGACACAGCGGGAAGGTTCTGTCGGCCCGCTTCCTGTTGGACAACGCTCGCATCGTCTCAGGAAGCTACGACCGAACCCTGAAACTGTGGGACCTCCGCAGCAAAGTCTGTAAGTGACGGGCCGGCCGCCTCGCGCCCGCCGCTCGCCGCCGCTGACTCGCCGAGCGCTCGTTTGTGTCCGGCAGGCATGAAGACGGTGTTCACCGGTTCCAGCTGCAACGACATCGTGTGCACCGAGCAGTGCGTCATGAGCGGACACTTTGACAAGAAGGTCCGCTTCTGGGACATCAGGTCAGTGAGCCACCGCCCCGCCCCCCTTTTTTTGGGAGGGGGGGGGTTGCAATGGGACAAGCACGGACGGTACTTTCGTTTCAGGGCGGAGAGCAGCGTGCGGGAGCTGGAACTGCTGGGCCGGGTGACGTCGTTGGACCTGAACCACGACCGCACCGAGCTGCTCACTTGCTCCCGAGACGACCTGCTTAAGATCGTCGACCTGCGCACGAACGCCGTCAGACAGACTCTCAGGTCCGTCTTCGATGCCCACGGGACGGAACGCGATGCGGCCATCGGACGCGCGGGGACTCGACTCGATGCGATGCGACCGGCCCTGACCGGACGCGGCCGCGCGACTCGTTTTGCGTCGACTAGTCGTGACCGCCGAGGCCACGTTTCCACGCGACGTTACTCGACAGGGATCGATGACGTTGCGCGACTTGATAGACCGTGACCGGACGTGGCGCGATGTGACTTGATTTTGTGAAGTGACTCGACGTGACGCGAGTCGACCGTGTGAAGTGACCGGACCGGACGCGGGGCTCACACCTGTCTTGTCTTCTTCAGCGCTGAGGGCTTCAAGTGCGGCGCCGATTGGACCAGAGTGACCTTCAGGTGGGTTCCCTCTCAAAGTCAAAAAACAATAATACATTTCCAAGTCCAGTCACGGTAAGTACAGTGTTGTACGGCTGCCCCCTGGTGGCCAAGGTAGGTGCAGCACAATGAATACAGTCCACCTGTATTTCGAGAGCGCTTTCGCGATGGCCGCAGCGCTCACAAAGGCCTTCTTGGCACGACATTCGATATGAGATGGCAGTAACACAACAATGCTTTCATGCTTGACATTTGAAGATGTCATTTTCATTCAATGGATGAATCCATCACACCATCGATAGAAATGTGTGCCACTCGTCCTCACCAAATAACAAACTGGCGAGGTTTTTGGTAGAAGAAAAACTGTTCACTGAAGCTGGCATGGGGAAACATTCGAGGTCAGATTCATCGGAGTAATGAGCGAGGTCACATTCCCCTCGCATGGGGGGGGGGGCATGGAAGACCAGGATCGCTTTGGTGCCGTAGAACTAAGAAGGGACTTGAGAAGCAGCTTTGCCAAAAGTCGCGGCCTCATTTGGAATCTTGGTGGCGGACTGTAGGATCTTTCTCCCGCAAATTAATGCTTAAAAATTGATGCTTTCTCAACTTGCTTGTTGCTTTCTTTCCCTTTTAGTCCCGACGGGAACTTTGTGGCCGGGGGCTCTGCGGACGGAGCGCTGTACGTCTGGAATGTTCTCACGGGGAAGGTGGACCGAACACTGGATCGCAATCACAAGTAAGACGTGCGAGCTGCGACCCCGACGGTCTGGCATCTCCTGACCTGACGGCGCTCAGCCTGTCAACTTGCCAGTGCAACACGTTTGCGTGTCAGCCGTAACGCTCAAGTGCCTAAAAGGGCCATTTTCCAAAAATGAAGGGCAGCGTTCCAGACCCCGGAAAGTGAAGTCAGAGATTTGTTTGTAAATTTGCCTCACGTTGTTTTGAAGATTAATGGCTTCAAACAGCCTCATTTGACACCCATGGCCATCATTATGAGCGTATATAGGGCATATGAGGACTGGGTCGGATTTGGAGGGGGGGGGGGAATAAAAATGCCCTGACGTATAATCACCCTTCAGAAGCCTTTTTTTTTTTTCTGTACTCGTAAAAGACGGTCCCCGATTTGCTTTTCATCTCGGGGGTGAGCAAAATTGAAAGCACCGCAATGAAGCGTGCGTGCCTTTCAGTTCAGGTCCAAAAGGGGGATGCTCTTTTGCCATGCCTCTGATGAAGGGCCCTCGGAGTCACGTTTCCCCAAATCTCGTCCTAGTCCTGACCTTTTAAACATCTCTTTGTCGCGACCCCTGGTCCGAGCCGCGTGAAAGTTTTCCATCTCTGGTTGAGCCCGCCGTCTAAAAGCTGCTGTCGTCCCCCACAGCTCAGCCATCAACGCCGTGTCGTGGTCGCCGTCGGGCGTGTACGTGAGCAGCGTGGAGAAGGGCAGCAAGGCCATCCTGTGGTCCGACATGTGACGGGAGGAGCGGAGATGACGTTGCGCGACTTGATAGACCGTGACCGGACGTGGCGCGATGTGACTTGATTTTGTGAAGTGACTCGACGTGACGCGAGTCGACCGTGTGAAGTGACCGGACCGGACGCGGGGCTCACACCTGTCTTGTCTTCTTCAGCGCTGAGGGCTTCAAGTGCGGCGCCGATTGGACCAGAGTAACCTTCAGGTGGGTTCCCTCTCAAAGTCAAAAAACAATAATACATTTCCAAGTCCAGTCACGGTAAGTACAGTGTTGTACGGCTGCCCCCTGGTGGCCAAGGTAGGTGCAGCACAATGAATGCAGTCCACCTGTATTTCGAGAGCGCTTTCGCGATGGCCGCAGCGCTCACAAAGGCCTTCTTGGCACGACATTCGATATGAGATGGCAGTAACACAACAATGCTTTCATGCTTGACATTTGAAGATGTCATTTTCATTCAATGGATGAATCCATCACACCATCGATAGAAATGTGTGCCACTCGTCCTCACCAAATAACAAACTGGCGAGGTTTTTGGTAGAAGAAAAACTGTTCACTGAAGCTGGCATGGGGAAACATTCGAGGTCAGATTCATCGGAGTAATGAGCGAGGTCACATTCCCCTCGCATGGGGGGGGGGGCATGGAAGACCAGGATCGCTTTGGTGCCGTAGAACTAAGAAGGGACTTGAGAAGCAGCTTTGCCAAAAGTCGCGGCCTCATTTGGAATCTTGGTGGCGGACTGTAGGATCTTTCTCCCGCAAATTAATGCTTAAAAATTGATGCTTTCTCAACTTGCTTGTTGCTTTCTTTCCCTTTTAGTCCCGACGGGAACTTTGTGGCCGGGGGCTCTGCGGACGGAGCGCTGTACGTCTGGAATGTTCTCACGGGGAAGGTGGACCGAACACTGGATCGCAATCACAAGTAAGACGTGCGAGCTGCGACCCCGACGGTCTGGCATCTCCTGACCTGACGGCGCTCAGCCTGTCAACTTGCCAGTGCAACACGTTTGCGTGTCAGCCGTAACGCTCAAGTGCCTAAAAGGGCCATTTTCCAAAAATGAAGGGCAGCGTTCCAGACCCCGGAAAGTGAAGTCAGAGATTTGTTTGTAAATTTGCCTCACGTTGTTTTGAAGATTAATGGCTTCAAACAGCCTCATTTGACACCCATGGCCATCATTATGAGCGTATATAGGGCATATGAGGACTGGGTCGGATTTGGAGGGGGGGGGG